GACAGCGAGGCCCACTTCAGCAAGGCCCTTCCCATCCCCCCAGGAAGGCAGTGGGCCTCCATCTCATCCCTGCCCCACCATGGACAGCCCGGTGCAATCCAGAGGCCTCGTCCCATTCCCTCACAGGCCCTCCAGTACACGCGCCTGAAAGCGTTTCATCCTCCACCCTCCGCTGTCATCATGGGTTGAATTTAGGATCCTCCAGTGGTCCTGCTCTTCTCCCAGGTGGATAAAGCTCATCCTCTTCCCTGGCCCTATATAAGCTCATGCCCAGAATTCTTGGCCACTTGCAGGGTGGCCGGCTTTGCAGCAGTGGTCAGGGTTGGATTCAAAAGTAACATGACCTCCTTCCAGGAGAGCTCGAATATTTGGGTTAAGTTCTAGGAAGCCTCTATATATCTGTCAGGGTCATCTGGAAATGTGCCAAGATCTCCATTTAGTTGACTGGGAACGGCCTAGAATGAGGATTTGTACACTGGGGAAGGCTTGAGAGGGAACCTGGATGGGAGGAGCAGAGGGTTAGATTCCCCCACTGCAGGTGCCTCTGGGGTTCGGTTCTCTACTTCCCTGGGTTGCCTCTTGTAGCCTCTCCTGAGGTGGCCCCTGGGAGGGCCGGATCAATTCTACAGCATAGGCAGAGGTCCAGCCTGCGCACATGGGGCCTTGGCCCTTGCGTTCACAGAAGACCTTCGTTCCACAGACCAGCTTCCCTTCTGAGTCCGAAGGTGCTTGGCACCAAGTTGGCAACCAAGGAACTGGCAAGAACATTTTTTGCCACAAATTCACCTACAAATGCCAAGGCACACTGGCTTCACCCGTGGTAGTCTTAGCCCATTTTATAGTTTCGAGGACTAAGCCAAATGCTCATTCTACATAAGGATGTTGCAACAACATTCTTAATACTTAACCCTGTGTATAAAGAAGAGCTGGGAACCACGACAGCCACAAAAGAAAGAAAGAAAAGAATGGCAGGGAAGAGCGGAGGTCCTCATGCCAACACCCTAATGGGAGGCTGGGGTCTGGAGTTAGTCCGGAGGCCTTTGGATAACACCAAGAGGTGACCTAGGCCAGATACCGTCAGTTGCTCTGGGACCTCCTCCGGTCCCAGGTGACAGCTAGACCTCCATGAAGGAAACTGGGTTGGAGATTGGAAGACAGCCAGCATTCCCAACACCCGAGGGTGATGGGGGATTGGACGGGGTCCTCCCCAGCAAGCCTGTCCTCCGTGCGTTAAGTCTGGCAGCTGCACTAGTCACTTGTAGCTGGTTGACAGAGGCCTGGCATTTTTCTTTCATTTGAGTTACTGTGGAGTTTAGGGACTAGGAGAAAAAGACAGAGAGAGAAGGTCCACTTTTACTCACCCGTCCGCAGATCCCAGACGAGCCCCCCAAACCCCCCAAAATGTTACAGGATATTTGAGGCCAGAAACCTCTGTGATACACAGGTAAGTGGAGGGTGAGCAAGATGAAGAGGAGCTTTAGTAAGTGTTAGAGCAGCTCAGAGGCTCTCAGCAGAGGAGGCCGGGAGTGAGTGGCTCCTCTCTCCGGGCAGGTCATCAGAGTGGGTGTTCTGCTTCAGGACAGAGGGTAGGTCCTCTCTGCAGCTGGTCATTCTGTTGTCTCTGTCCTACTCTGCTGCGGCTGGGGCTTTTATGGGCTCAGAGGGGGGGAAATGCGTGCCAATTGGTCCATGGGCAGCCATGGGTGGGCCCAGAAAAGGAACCGTAAGTCCCCACGCTGGTCCTTGGGACCGACAGCCTGGCCCCCAGCCTTCAGGCCCACCCTAGCTTGAAGGTGGGGCCTCACCAGGGAGCTGCCCCTTCCCTCCTGGGAGCCAGTCTGCCTCCTGCATGGTGCCCAGGCTGCTTGTGCCAAGGGTTCCCACAGAGCAGCTCTGTGCTGCCCCCAGCCCCACCTCGGCCTCCCTCCTGCACTCAGTGGTGCCCACCGTCTGGAGGGCTGAGGTGGGAGGGGACTGGTGCATTGGCACTGCCCTGAGGGTGCCCACACCTGCTGGGCTGCAACAGCACCAGGGCTTGGCCCCAACCCCGCTCCAAGATCAGCGTGGGCACCAGGAGCAGGGAGAGGCAGGCAGCAGGAGCGGACGCTCCCAAGTCTGTGGTGATGGGGCGGCCCTGCCTGGCCCCCAAGACCATCAGGAGGCCTGGGCCCACGGCCACAACCTGGATGGCTACAGCTGCACCTAGGGAGCTCCCGGAACAGAAAGCCCAGTGCTCCAGGGCTGGCCCATGGGTCCCAGCTGTCTTTGGCTGGGTGCTCACAGCAGGAAGGGAGGTCGAGGCTGTGGTGGGGGCTCCAAGCCTGGGAGTGGATCCTTCCCAGCCATGCGAGGGTGGGGGTGGCACTGTTGGCTGCCCTGGGGACTTGGGGCACAGGGACCCACTGCTGCCATCCTACTGCCCCATCTGCCACCTTGCAGCCTGGGTCGGGGGCTCCAGGCCCTCACAGGGCCCAGGCTGGCATCCGGGCAGAGGTGATGTCACAGTGAGTTCCCCCTGCAGTTCCAGTGCTCAGGGGCGGCCTGGGGCCACCCCTCACCTGGCTCACAACCATGCCCGGGGGCCGCCTCTGGGAGCAGACTGCAGGCACCGACTCCAGCTACCCGGAGCACCAGGCTCTGCAGTGGGAGCAGGTACTTCCAAGCCTACAGGGGGTGGGGGTCCCCAAGAGCACAGGAATGCTGGGGTGCACACAAATGAAAGCAGTACCCGGGAGGTGGGGCTCCTGCCTGTGCTGTGGAGTGGGAGGCCCGGCTGTGCCTCGCCACGGCGGCCCGTGGCCACTCTGGATGGGCTGCTGCTGCCATCACTCCTGCCTCGGTCTCCCAGAGTGCTGATATTACAGGTGTGGGCCACTGTGCCCGGCCTCGTCATTGATTTTTAAGACATTTCCTCACAGGGTCGCTGGCCCCTGCCCGCCCCCAGCCTGTGTCCTGGGCCGCCCTCAGCTTCTCAGACTCGGTCCTTCTGACCACCCCACTTAGAAACGCGGCCGCACTCACATGGGCCGCTGCCTTGCCAGGCTCCCTGTCCCTCTGCTGTGGCCGCCAGCTCTGTACAGATGTTTTGCTTATGGCGAAGTCGTGCGCCCCTCCCCCCACATTAGACTGGGAGCTCCACGCGGGCAGCAGTTTTTCTCTGTTCTGCGCACTGCTTTTCCTCCGTGGGTGACGTAGTGAGTGCAATGAACCTTTGCTAAGTGCGTTAAATCACGCTGTGAGTATTGTCCAGATCACGCGGAATTGTGTGTGGCTTCCTGTGTTCCAAGGTGGATTCTCTGATGTGCAGGCTTCCCCTGCCTGTGGCTTAGGATTGTTCTCTCCTTTCCTCATTCTCGGGGTTGCGTGGATCGTTGAATCCAATGGTGGTTCTCCTGCTGGGACACATCTGTGCGTGGGGACAGTTCCATCTGAACTAGGTGCACAGGGCACAGTGGGCAGGACGGCTGGTCATCGCGTGGCCCACAGGTGCGTGCGTGGCCGGCCGGATCCCCCGTACTGTGGCTCCTCTCCCCTGTGGACCAGCGGGACCCGTGCAGCCCACCTCAGGCAACTGGGTGCTGCTCTGGCCAAGGGCAGGTCCCCCCGGTTCCTCCTCCGGCTCCACCTCCCGCCGCCCTTGTGCGCAGTGAGCGGTGACCTCAGGACACATCTTCAGAGGGCAATTTTGGCTGCTGGGCGTGTGAGCTGTTTTCCCACCCAGTGTGAACGAGGAGGTAGGAAGAAGAGTGGCCCCTAGAGATGGGCCTGCCCCAGCACCTGTAACTGCTGCCTTCACGGCAAAGGGCCTTTGCCAATGGACCCAGTGAGGGGTGTGATGGGGAGGTTACTGCGGGCTCGCTGGGTGGGCCCAGTGTAATCACAGGGGTCCTTATAAGAGCAGGGTCAGAGTCACAGAAGGAGATGAGAGAGAGAGGGCGAGAGAAAGAGAGCAAGCTGCTGAAATCCAGGTGGCCCCGAGCAGCTGGAGAAGAAGAGGAAACAGCCCCACACCTTCTCCAGAAGGGACCAGCCCTGCCGACACCTTAGTTTTAGGACATTTTTTTCTAAGACAGGGCCTCGCTCTGTTTCCCAGGGTGGAGTGCAGCGGTGCAATCACAGCTCATTGCAGCCCCAACCTCCCAGGCTCAGGTGATCCTCCTGCCTCAGCCTCCCAAGTAGCTGGGACTACAGGTGCACACCACCACGTCTGGGGCTCCAGCTGCTTCAGCCTCCCAAAGTGCTGGGATTACAGGCATGAGCCACTGTGCCAGGCTTAACTTTGGGACTTCTTACCTCCAGAACTGTAAGGTAATAAAAGTGTGTGTTTAAAGCACTTCATCTGTGCCGATTTGCTACAGCAGCCGTAAGGAACTGACACAGGCACTCAGCGCCTGCAGGGGACAGCCTCCCTCATGATGGGGCCCAGGCTAGGGCTGCGCTGGGACCCACGGGCAGAGAGGAGACAAGTGAAGTGGCCTCCACTGGCCTCTGGGCCAATCCTCTGGTGCCCTGCTGACTCTGACCTTGCACTTACCACAGTCACACAGGCCCCTGATGACACAGCTTCACCAGCTTGAGTTGGGTTTCTGTTTATGGCACCCCGGAGTCCTGCCTGATCACCCCCAACCCCAGCACAGGACATGCCCCACCTGGGTGCAGATGGCTCCTCCACTCTAGAGGAGGCTGGGGCAGGACTAACACTCTAATTCTCACTGCAGAATCAAGGCCACTGGGGTGGTGACTGCTCATTCCTCACCCCAGTACTATCGACGTCTGCTATCAGTGGGCACAGGCCCTACAGACTCGGCGCAGAAGGAAGAAATCGGAAGCCCCTCCCCCAGGGCCCTGGGCACAGAGGCTCACAGGCAGGAAGGGGCACGTGGTCTTGGGGGTGGGAGAGGATGGGCTGGGAAGGGCTGCAGCTGGGAGTCAGGAGGTCGAGCTCAGGGACCCTGGGGGTGAGGACTCTACCTCCCAAGAGAACAGACGCAGAGGACGAGTCAGAACTAAAAAAAATATTTCATTTCATTCTGAATAAAAAACAGAACAGACAGAACTCTTGGGTATCCTGAAAACAACGTCATCGCTACAGCAAAATTTCACAGAAATCATCGCAGAGTGGGGACAAGGCCAGGCCCTGACCTGCCGTGAAGCTGCCCCTCCGGGGTGGGCCTGGCACGGGGGCCCCGTGGGCCAGGAGGGGCAGGCATGGTGGTGGCTGTGACCCATTGACCAGCCCTGAGCCCTGCCGGGGCCCTCAGGACCAAGCTCTAAGCCCAGGCCCCAGCAGCTGCCCTGGGCCTCCCACTGGGGTTGGGAGGGGCTGCCCATCCTCACGACGCCCCCACCCCCGTGTGAGAGGCTTTCCTGCTGCGGGCGCTCCACATGCCCCTTTTGGAGTGGTAGTGGTGGAAGAAGTTCCGCAGACGTAGCCGCTCCACCTCCAGCCCTGCCTGCAGGACCCTGTGAGGGGCAGAGAGGTGGTTAGGACCCTGGCGGGGGTGGGGGGGCAGAGAGGTGGTCAGGACCCTGGCGGGGGGTGGGGGGCAGAGAGGTGGTCAGGACCCTGGTGGGGGGGGGCAGAGAGGTGGTCAGGACCCTGGTGGGGGGGGGGCAGAGAGGTGGTCAGGACCTTGGTGGGGGGGGCAGAGAGGTGGTCAGGACCCTGGTGGGGAGGCATAGAGGTAGTCAGGACCCTGGTCCGGGGGCTGGAGGTGTCAGGGCTGCCTCGAGCCTGCAGGACCCCAGTGGGAGGACGGGGGGACTCAGGGCCACCATGGGGTCACAGGATCGGGGGCAGAGCTGGTTCAGGGACATCCCTGAGCTTACAGGACCCTGAGGGTGGGAACGGGTTTCAGGAGTGAAGCCGGTGGAGGGTCTCTCTGGGCCTCCAGGATACTGGGAAGAGGAGGAAGGGCAGAGTTCTCTCAGCAGGTGGGGCCCCATGGCGGGGCACAGGGCCTGCTCCATGTCCGCTCCCCTCCCCCACTCAGAGGAGGAGGAGGCAGGGGTCAGGGGTCTCCTCTGTCTCCCTGAGGAGTGGGGAGGCGGTCACCTGTCCAGGAGCTCCCAGTCTTCACCCCCCCACTGGTCTCGGAACTCCTCAGTGTTCATGCCTCCGACCCGGTCAAAATCCGACTTGTAGATCCCAAAAAGGCCAAAGCCGTTCACCTCCCAGTAACCTGGGGCGGGGAGGGTGCGAGGGTTGCCCTTCAGACCGGGTCCTGCAAGGCTTCCCCGAAAATGGCCTCTAGGAGACCTCGGGAGGGGCGCAGGTGCAGGGTCCCATCACCACAGGGGCTTCCAGGAGTCTGTCCACTGGTGCTAGGTCATGACCCTGGAGTGCCCAGCATAAGTGCGGGAGACTTGAGGAGGTTCCTGGGGACCCACTGTGGCCCTGGGTGTGCTGGTGCCAGGGAACTGGGGCCCTGGGCCCTACTGAGGGCACCGATGGACTCACAGGCCTCCCCTGGGGATTGAGAGAGGCCCAAAGTTCCAGGACTTGTCCCTGGCGGTGGGTGGGAACCCTGGCATCACAGGGTGGGGCACTTGGGGCCTCACCGTGTGGGTCCCGGGGTGAGCTCCCACAGCCCAGGCGCATGACCACTGGCGCGAAGGCCAGCCTGCCCTCCACACAGTGCTTGCGGATGGCGTCCAGGATGTTGGGTGGGAAGTGGATGTGGAGGTCGCAGAGAAACACGATGCTACTGGTGTCCTGGGGGTGCGGGAGGTCTGAGCCTGGCCCTCTTCTTCCAAGGGCTGCTCCTCCCCGGCCCCCACGTTGCTCCCCCACCCCGTCTGGCCCTCGGACCTCCACCGCGTCCACTCCTGCTTGCAGCCCCGCGGAGCGCTCGAAGTTTCCGGTGCGTCTCAGGTACTGGTACCTGGGGAGGGGGAGTCACAGGCAGGCTCTCTGGGGTGGGGTCAGGAAAACCCACCTCCGAGGGAAGGAAAGGCGCGCCATTACCGGGGCAGGCGCGCAGCGCGCAAGGCCCGCTCCACGTCCATGTCCTCGCTCTCGAAATCCACCAGGACGACGCTGAAGTGCGAGTCCCCAGTGCGCGCGTGCAGCGCGGCCATGTCCGCCAGGAACTGCGCTACCCACCGTGCCTGATTTTTCACTGGAGGAGAAATGGGGGGACAGGGGGTTGCTGAGCCGACCCGGCTGCTAGCTGGGGCCTCCCAGCTCCAAAAAACCTGGTCCCTGACACCCACGCCCTTCCTGGTCGGTGGGGTCACATTCTTCCTGGGGGTCTCCCGGAAACCACAGCCTGCCCTGCGAACCTGGCACGATGAAGTGGACCATCACGTCCTGGCGCCAGGCCAGGCGCAGCGGCCGGCAGAGTTCCGGGCGGCCGTCGGGGCGCACGGAGGCGGCGGGAGCGGGCTCGGGACTTTCTCCGTCTGCATCCCCCACGCGGGCTCCAGGCAGCCGCAGGAAGACGTACTCGGACAGTCGCAGGCGGCGGCCCCCGCGCTCCTGCAGCTCCAGCTCTAGCAGGAAGCGGCTCCCTCGCGCCGAGTCCCGGCGCTTCTCCACGTTCACGATGCGCAGCAGCGCGAAGTGCCTGCAAGGCGCGGTGGTCAGCCCCGTAAGAGGGCTTCGAGCCTGCACCCCCTGGCCACAGAAACTCAGCTAACTTGCGGTGGGGGAGGCTGTGAGCTCCTGGGCACAGCTCCTGCCCCTCCAGGCAGGCCCAGCAGGCAGGTCCACCTTCCAGCCACCCTCTCCCGGGTCGGGGCAAGCCTGGGGCACCGAGCCCAGGCCTGTCCCTGACTCCCAGCAGGCCTCCTGGCCACCACTCACGTCCCAGGTGACCTTTATGACATGCCTGCCTGTCCAGTTACCCCCTTGCTCAGAAACCTTCAGGAGTTTGCCACCACCCATGGGACCAGGTTCCAAGCGCTTCTGCAGCATTCTAGGACCATAAGCAGTTTCTATCCTGCGGCCTTCAATCCTCAGCAGATTCCTCCTCAGGCACAGCCACTGTCTCCTCTCCTTTGTCCTTCAGTGTCCTCAAGCTGGGATGTTTGTCCCAGCCTTCCTAGCCCCTCCTCTTTGAGGCCCTAGGTCACCTCTTCTGAGAAGCCCCCCATGCCTTTCCCCAGGCAGCAGCTCCAGGCCGATTCTAACCCCTGCGTGGAGGAGGCTGCTGCACTGCTCAAGCCGTTTCTGGCCCCTCCTCTTCATTCCTGCCCCAGTGAGAACCTGACTTTTCCTTCCACTCTGCTCTCCTAATCTGGAGAAAACAGAACTCTGCCCTAGACTAAGGTTCCTCTTCAGTCGGCCTCATGCCCTCCCTCAGCAGTCAGTGCGCTTTACGGGGGCGCCCACCTGTGTGACCCTTAAGGGGTCCAGACACCCCCCTCCAACTCCTGTCCTTCCTATGTCCCCCGCGGCCCAACAGTCAGAGACCCCCGACCCAAACACTCTTGGTGTCTCTACACCATTGCTCCACATCCAGGTGGGCAAAGGTGGGGCTGAAACCATCACCATCCCACGAGGCCCCCCTGGGATGACGAGCTGCTCTCAGGAAGCTGAGACCTGGCAAAGGCAGGCGTGTCCTAGCAGCCAACCAGAATCCAGCACCCACTCCCCAGGGCTCCAGGCTGTCAGCCACCACCTGTCTGCACCCAAACGGGCCAACTCCTGCCCTGCTCACAACCTTCCATCACACACAAGAGAAAGTCCCGCGCGGCTCTGTCTCCATCCTCTGCCCCGGCCTTTGCCTGTCCTCACTGTGCGGCTCCTACTTTGCCTTCAAGGCTGGCACAAGAGACACTGACCCTTCTTGTAGGTCCACAGCACCTCCCCAAAGCAAAATCAGGCTCCCCACTCCTGCCTCCACAGCCCTCTGGGGGTGGGGTCAGCACTAGATTCCTGGGGAGATGAGAGGGGCCCATGGGGCAGAAGCCCTGCACCCTCCGCTGCAGTCAGGCCCTGAGCATCTGGGAGCACTAGGGGTACTGCCAGGGGAGAGGAGGAGGGGTGTGGGGCCCCGATGAGGCCATCTGTCCAGCAACTGAGACTGAGAGGATCTCTGCAGCTTGGACTCATCATCCCTGTGCCCAGGTTCAGGGTGACAGAGTGAGGCTTACAGGTACAAGGATGGGACCTCAGCCCTGGGTGGGGCTCCAGGAAGGTCCCTGAGGCTAGACAAGTGCTCTGGGCAGTCAGGAAAGCCGGAGGGAAGAGGAGAAGCTGGGGCTTCCCTGGGGTGGGGGTGGTACATCAGACCCAGGCCTGGACACCATTGAGCCCTGGGGAAGGTCTGAGGGGCCCACCCAGGCCAGGCCCTCCTCTCCGCGGCCATCCCCGCCCCCTATACCCGCCATGGCGCGCGTTGAGCCGCTCCATGTACTGAGCCACCACGTCCACGGCCTCCGCCTCCGGCAGCTGCAGGTTCCCCGACACGTTGCACCGCAAGTCGTTCCAGTCCGAGCGCAGCAGCTCGAAGTCCACGGCGCCCACGCTGAACGTGCGCTGCCAGTCGATGGCGTCCTCACGCCAGCGTCCGAGCGCAGGGCCCGCGGCCTCCTCGCTGTCCTCCGACGCGGCCTCGGCCCCGTCGTCCTCCCCCTCCTCCTCCTCTTCGCCCTCCCCCGGCAGCCGCGGCCCCGACACCTGAGACAAGCTCAGGAAGGAGGTCACGGGCTGTGCTTCGGAGGACGAGTTCGAGTCCACCGTGGGCGCCGCAGGTCCCAGCGTGCGCGCCTGGCTCTCCCGGCCCCCGGGGGTGGCCTGCGCCTGGGCTGGAGGCCGCAGCTTTGTGGTCTGGGGGCCGCCGGTCCTGCGGCCGTGAGGCCGTGGGGGGCGCGGGGGCACCCGCAGCTGCACTCTGGGCAGAGGCCGAGGGCGCAGGAAGACGCCGGGGAAGGGCGGCCAGGGCGCGCGCGGCGCCGGGGCTCTGGGGGAGGCCCGTTGTCCCGGCCGCACCCTGGTCACGTACACCTTCCCGGGTGTCCGGGGCGGCTGCTCCGCGGCAGGGCGCGGGGGAGGAGCTCGGCCCAAGAAGAGTGGCAGGGGGCGGGCGGCCCGGGCGGCCCAGCTCAGGGCCCGGGTGCGCCTGGGGGTCCTGTCGTCCCGGGGGCCGGGAGGGGTCGGCGGGGCGGGGGACGGGGGGCTGCTCCTGGGCGGGGCCGCCTCCGTGGGCTCCAGGCTGTCCAGCGGCTCCCCTTCGTCCTCGTCATCCAGGAAGTCTGCGGGAAGCGCGGGTTAGAAGCTCCGCGCATGGTGGGTGTGAGCCGGGGGCACTGGGGACCCTCACCGTCGGGGTTGAGGAAGAGGAAGGCTCGGCGCTGCACCTCCTCCTCTTCGTCGCCGTCCCCCTCCTCCTTGTCCATCTTCATGTATTTGTAGAACCCAAACCTGGGGCGGGTAGGGCATCAGAGCCGAGCCCCGCCCCACTCCGCCCACCCCTCCCCCCCCACCCCCCCCGCCCCCGCCCACCTCTCCAGGTACAGCGGAGACTCGCGGTAGAAGCACTTGTTCTCGGTCTCCATGTGCGTGAGGCGGGTGTAGTCGTTGGGATACACGAAGGACAGGTACACCTGGGGGTGGGGGTTGGGGGCGGGGCTCAGGGCAGGCCTCCCACGGGGCTGGATGGGGCTGCGTGGAGTCCCAGACAGACGGGACGGGACAGGACGGGGTCCCCAGCCGCACTCACAAATTGCAGTCCCTGGTATCTGGCGATGGGGAAGTCCTTGACCACGTAGGTGGGGGCGTAAGCGCAGGGCTCCAGCACGTCCTCCAGGCTCGAGGGCTCCACGCGCGGTGCTGCAGGAGGGGCGGTCACAGGGTGGCTGGGCAGGCACCCCCTCCACCCTGCGCGGGCCCCGTCTCACTCAGGAAGAAGGTGTCCCTGGGGTCTGGCCGCAGCATGTCTGCGCTGGTCTCCTCCTGCGCCGGACGCCCCCCTACGTGGCTGGCTGGAGACTGGGGGACGTGGGCCACATGGTCCATCTTCAGGGCTGACTCATCTGGGGGCAGAGGAGTTCCCAGGAGTGCTTGGACCCCCTCCTCCACTATGCCCGATCCCGAGAGGCCCCACACCCCCAGAGGCAGCTGTCGCACCTGTGTACAGGGAGATGTGAGCAGAGTCGATGACCTCGAACTTCAGGCCGGGTAGGAAAGCTCGCCACTGAGGGGCAGAGAGGGTGGGGGTCGGGCGCGGCCGTGGCTGGGTCCAGGGAGGAAAGGGTCTACCTTGGCTCAGGGCGGGGGGACTCCTAGGACCAGTCCCTTAAAGGAGGCAGGAGGGGAGATGGCAGAGGGGTCCCAGGGTTGCAGGAAGGGGCAGCAGGGAAGCTGGGGAAGGAGGCCCCGAAAGCTGAGGGGCCCTGGGAGTAGGGCCAGACCCCACGCTACCTTCCTCACCTTTCCTCCTCCCTCCTTTCCTCCCTCCTGAGTCCCTCCGGGCCTTCCAACACCACCCACTCCCAGAGGTCACTGCCAGCCTCTAAGGGCCAGGCCTGGCGGCCCCTCCACTAGACTTCTCTACCCCCCCACCAAGTTGGGGCTTCAGGGGCTATTCTCACCTCATCCTGGGGCCTCCACACAGACCACCCCAACCCCCTGTCTCCAGCCTGGGCCCTCTGCCCAACTGAGCTGGGGTGAAACACGCCCCATACACACCAGACACAGGCAACGTGGCGCAGCCCCCCACAACCCGAGGCTCCAGGCCCTGCCTTGCTGTCACCCCTTCCCCTCCCCCGTCCATCCCGGCCACCTCCCTGGGATGAAGGACCAAAGGCTACAGTAAAAATCCTTCCCCCAGGCTCTCTCATTCTGTGGCCAGGGTTTTTTCCTGGAATGCAAATCCGATGGCCTCATTCTCAGGACAAAGCTCTGTCTGTCCAGGGTGCCCAGGCCCCGCCTGCCCTGGCCACCAGATCCCTCCTAGTCCCCAAGACGTGGTTCCTCAGCTGGGTCCTTCCTTCGCTGTTCTCGTGGTCGGGAAGTCACCTGCTGTGCACCGTACCCCAAATTCTCTGCCTCCACATCTCTACTGAATGCCTGTGTCCTCTCAAGACTCTACTCAAGGGTGACTCCTCAGGGAAGCCACACGAGCCCCCCCAGAGGGCAGAGCAGACTCTCCTCCTGACCTCAGGCCCACAGCCCTGACCATCTGCTTTGTTATCTTTGGGATGGGGACCCCACTGCCGTTGTCCTGCAGGGAGGAGGTGGGAGTGGAGCCTCCAGAAGCTTCTGTGGGTGGGGGGCATGGGGGGAGTGGGGGCCGCACTCACTCCCACTTCCACATGGTCCGAGCCACGGTCGTCCTGCTTGTGCAGCAACTCAAAGTAGTACCTCCGGGATGTCATGAGCCTGGGGACGCGAGGAGAAGGGGCTGAGCCCACCATGCCCAGGAAGTGGGGGAGCCAGGGAAGAGGGGAGCCAGGGAGGTGGGGGAGCCAGGGAGGTGGGGAGCCAGGGAGGTGGGGGAGCTAGGGAAGGCGGGGAGCCAGGGAGGTGGGGGATCCAGGGAAGGGGGGGAGCCAGGGAAGGGGGAGAGCCAGGGAAGGGGGGGAGCCAGGGAAGGGGGGAGTCAGGGAAATGGGGGGAGCCAGTGAGGTGGGGTAGCCAGGGAAGGGGGGGAGCCAGGGAGGTGGGGGGGATCCAGGGAAGGGGGGATGGGGGAGCCAGGGAAGGGGGGAGCCAGGGAGGTGGGGGAGCCAGGGAAAGGGGAGCTGGAGGGAGCCAGGAAAGAGGGGAGCCAGGGAAGCGGGGAGCCAGGGAAGGGGGGAGCCAGTGATGTGGGGGAGCCAGGGAAGGGGTAGGGAGCCAGGGAAATGGGGGGAGCCAGTGAGGTGGGGGAGCCAGGGAAGAGGGGGGAGCCAGGGAAGGGGGGGCCAGGTAAGGGAGGGCGGGGGAGGGGGGAGCCAGGGAATCGGGGAGCCAGGGAAGGGGTGGGGAGCTCCCATACCTATCAGGGCTGGTCCTCAGGAGGATGGCAGCTGGTCTGGGAGCATGTGTGCAAGTGTGCACAGGATAAGGAGACAGTGGGCAGCCCCCTCCCACGAGTACGTGAGTACATGCGCACATGCACACCCCGTCACTCACCGCCTGGGCTTGGACACCTGGGAGCTGAACTTGGTGAATTCCCCAGGTGCTGTCCACTCAGAGCCAGTCTAGAGGGTGACAGAGCAGGGGTTGGGGGACTCACTCTCTCCTTGGGGACACCAGACCCATCCAGTCCTCCTTCCCAAGAGGCTGGAAGGACAGGTGACTGAGCTGCAGGAGGCCCAGGAAGACGATGGGGCTGGGGTGGGGGTACCTTGCCCACGAAGGCCACCAGCTGGGCAGCAGCTGGGCTCTCATCCAGGCTCAGCCAGAACTCCGAGTTGTCATCTGAGGCCACAGAAAACTGGACATCTCCTAGTCCACAAGGCTAGTCTCAGGGGGGTGGGGCCTCAGGACACCACCCCCCTCCCAGGGCGCCCTCACCCCCGTACCATCCCTCGCTGGGTGGATGAAACCAAAAATACGGAGTCCATAGTTCTTCCACTTGGGGGACACGGCCAGCTTCTTCACAGTGGTGCGAGTCTTGGGGGGGAGCAGTGACTGTTACTGCTGAAGCCCCCAACACTCCCTGCCCACCCTGCACCCCCAATCCCGGCACTCACATGAGGGAACAGCGGGAAGTGCAGGTTCCTCCTCAGGTGGCCCACGGCGCCCCCACACCAGTCCTCGAACACATGCAGGTTCACCTGCCCCTTGTACTGGGGATGGGAGGGCCTTACCCACTGCACGGCCGCCACCCCCAGCCCCCGCCCCCACCTCCCAGCCCATGACAAGCCAAGCAAGCTCACCTCCTCCCGCCATGGGGGTGTCTGATGGGTGAAGTTCAGTGGCAGCCTCCTGCCCTCCCCAGGAAACAGCATGTTTGAGTCCCGACCTTCCGGCTGCAGGAGAGAAAAGGCAGCAGGGTCAGGGCTGAAAGAGCAGGGAAGGGGTCACATACCCCAAGCCAGATCTTCACAAAGACCCCTTTCAACTGCAGCCACACGGCCCTCGAAGCCCAAGAGCCCACAGCCAGGCAAAGCCTGATGCATGGCACCTGGCACACACACTCAAACACACTGGTCACTCTAGCCCAAGAAGATGCTCCGCTGCCCCACACACCACCCGCCAGCACATTTGTGCACCTGCTGCAGCCCCGAGACACAGCTTCAGACCGGATGCCTGGTGCTGGAGCACACACCAACGAGGCATGACGCGTCCACCACCCACATGTCCTGTGTCTTCTGACCCCCCTGCCGTGCCCTCCAGAATAGACAGGTTCTCAAGGCACCAACACATGAGTGGCTTCGGGGTCTTGTGAGCTTATGCACACCCGTTCTTCCCAAGGCCCTGCTCACCGCCTGCTCCTCTTCACGGCTCTCGCTAGAGTCCTCCGCCCTCTGTGTGGATGGCACAGCGTGGACACCCCGGCCGTCGGTCACGCTGGTCAGCTTCTCGCCGTCTGCAGGTGGCACATGAGGTCTGTCTGGGGCCTAGGTTCTCGCCAAGGCCATTCCACCTGCTGCTGGGGTCAGCAGGGCAGGGACCCACATGGCTGGAGCAGGGCAGGGAGGTGGTGTCCGCACTAAAGCCTCTCCTTCCCATCTGCTTCCTCTGCCACAGGATGACCCACCCCACGGTGAGGCAGCTTCTTCCACACCTCACCTCTGTTGGGGCGGCCCGGCCTAAGCCCTCCACCAGGCTTTTCCCAACCTGCAGCTGGTGTGAGGAAGGAAAGCTGGGTGCGCCAGCTGGCATGTGTAGGCACCCACATGCAGTCCCATCTGGCCCTTCCCATTGAGTGGGTCTGCCTCCAGGAAGACCCCAGGACTTCCCTGCCTTCTCAGCCTTTCTGTGTGCTGGAGTGTTCACGTCTGCCTCCCTTACCAGAACTGGGAACTCATGCTTAGTGCCAGAGACTGTGGAAAGGAAAGCCAGTACTGCCTCTCCAAGTCTGGCTTGAGGGACAGGCATGGATGCTGAAGCCCAGGCGTGGCCCTGGATTTGAGTGTCCTTGGGCAAGAGGAGCAGGAGGAGCAGAATTGGGGTGAAGCAAAGCCTCCCTTTAGACGCTCAGGTCCCCCTGGAGCCGCAGTGAGAATGTCTAGGCCCTCAGCTTAGGGAGGTCCAGGAGGTGGAGAGGGCTGGAGCACAGAGGCCTGCCCAGGCTCGAGTGGGGAGGCTGTGGAGAGGTCCACAGGCAGCAGACCTGGGAAGGGTCTGTCTCCCCCCCGGCACTGTCAGGCTCCTTTTGCTTGTGGCCCTGACCTCAAGGGGTCCTTGGAAGAGGGGTTCCTCTGCCTCCGCCCCCACCTGGTTGGGCTTAGACCTCTGGCTGCTCAGAAAACCAGAGGCACCTGCTAGGGTGACTGGGGGCGGGGGGGGGGGGCGCTGGTTTTGTTCTGTGTCGCTGGGTCAGCTGTGGACCCTGCCCCGTCTGCTGATAGCTGGGTTGAGGCTTCTCTTAGGGATTCAGCAGTGTCGGGGGGTCCCCTGAGGATGCGGCAGCCGTGAGGTATGTGGGTTGGGACAAGAACCAGACCCTTGGCCTGTGTGGGGCCCAGCATCCCAGCACAGAAAGAGAAGACAGAGGGGCTCTGGTAGGTAGAGCAGCCCAGGTGTCCCCAGCCAGTGTCACTGTTCTGCCCTTGCAAGGACACCCAGTCCCTGGAGAGGCTCAGAGGCAGCCAGCTGGGGTCTCTCCCACTCTGGGACAGTACTTCCCTCCCTCCTTCGGGAGGGGGCAATCTGCCCCTTCCCCCCAGCTTTCATCTTCGCCTTCCTGTCTGGAATCCTCTTTCCCCCAAAGGTGTGTCAAAGATCACCATCTCCAAGAGGCCCTCCCCCGCTGGCCCAGGGGACGATCTGCTTGTGGGTTGGGAGAGCTTACTTCAGGCTCCCCAGGCTGGGCCCATCCCCACACCTGGATCCCCAGAACCGTGGCACAGTTCACTGAGGGCACCCCCACCAGGAAGCGTTCCAATTGCACCGGCCACTTTGCCGTGCCCCAGCCCGGGTCCCCAGCACGCGGGGAAACTGAGGCCCTGCTAAGCGGGCAGGTGGTAGAGGCCAAGCCTGAGAAGGCCTCTCATGAGCCTCAGCAGGGCCGAGGAGGCAGCGGCCTCCCCAGAAGCCCACCGTTAGCCCCCTCACCGCCGGATCCAGGCCAGAACCCGGAGTCAGGGACCATCCTAAAGAGGGTCGCACGCGTCACCGCCAACGTCATCGGGCGTCCGGGCCGAGCCGAGCCGCGCCCCCTCCCCCCAAATCGCAGAGCTGGGGACGCCGGGCGGGGGCTCCGGGCGGGTCGGGCCCAGCCGATACCCGCGTTGGGGGGGGGGAGGCCGGGGCCCCGCCGCCCGCGCCCCCGCGACCCCGCGCCCCCCGCGCCCCCCGCGCGTACCTCGCCCGTCGCCCAGGCGCTGTCGCAGCCCGCGGCCCTGGCGCACCAGGCCCAGGTGCAGGTAGGTGACCCACGCGGCGCAGCTCAGCAGCAGCAGCAGCAGCAGCAGCTTCACCTGCTTGCGGAGCTTCTTCACCGGCAGCCACGGCATCGCGGCCGCCGCGCCCGACCCCGGCCCAGCTCAGCGGCGCCGCCGCAGCCCCCGGCCCCCGCCCGTCCCGCGCCGCATCCCCGGCCCGCCCCGCCGCGCTCAGCGCCCGCGGCCCCGCATGGTCCTTTGTCCGCCGCCCGCGGCAGCCCGGTGCGGCCGCGACCCCCAGGCTGCCCTCGGCCGCGGGCCCGGGGTGGGCGGCGGGGGCGGCTCCTCGCGGTGCCCCCCGCCCGGCCCCGCCCGGCCGCTCCCGGCTCCGCGCTCCTGGGGCGGCGGCGGGACCGAGCAGCATCCGCGCCGCGGAGCTGCCCACCGCGAATCGGGCCCCGGCAGCGCGCGGAGCCAATCGGCCCGAGCCAGGCCGCGGGGAGCCAATGGCGGCGCGCGGGGCGGGGCGCGGGGTGCGGGCCGGGTGCATGGTGCGGGGCGCGCGCATCCACCTGGGCCGCGGAGCTGCGCCGGAGGGCTGGGAGGCGCGGGGGTTTGGGGACCGCGGGGGCTGCGGGGGAGGGGGACGGCCCGGCCGGGAGTCGGGGCAGCCTGGAAACAGCGTGACCCGGACCGGAGCGGAGGACACGGAGGAGGGAGAGAAGGGGAGCCGGGCGCTTGGGGCGGGGAATGCGGGGGACAGGGCCGGCGACAGAGGCTGGGGGGCCCCAAGCACGGGGTGGGAGTCGCTGAGGGATCTCAGCCTCAGGGCTGGACCCCCGGGGGCCGAGGCTGTCCCGGCCGTAGGAGGGGCCCAGCCGGCCGCCTCCACCCCACGGAGCGCGGCCTGACGGTTCTGTGCCTCTCGCCCGGGCGTTGTCCCACTTCCTGCCGGTTCTTCCCTGGTCCGCACCAACCCCTGCTAGTCCCCTCGGTCCCCCCAGCACGCCCCCTGCCCAGCTGCCAGCGCCACCCTTCGCTTCTCCCTCGTCTGCTCCGTTGTCTCCAGAGACAACCGGTGTCCGACAAACCACCCGCTCCGTGCTGTCCAGCAACAGCGTCCTGTGGGTCAGGAGCTTGGGGCACTCAGGGCAGCTCCTCCCCGATCCCCGGGGTGCTGGGCTCCAGGGGGAGGACGTGAGTGGCCGGGCGGCTCCGCGGGACAGGCTGGAATGGCGGGGCGCCCAGGGCGGTTGGCCCGGAGCACCTGCACTCCCAGCTGGCGGGGGAGGCCGCCTGGTGCAGAGCACAGAGTGAAGCATCTTGGAGTCACCTCTCCAGGTTTGCCACATGGCGTCGTGGCCACCCAAGTTTGTGGGTTGTGGGCATGTGGACCCCACCTGACGATGGAAGATTGCCCAGAGTTGCCTTCTTATTTTAATATAACCCTCGACTCCATCCTCCATCCCCTCCATCCTCCTCTCCTAACTGCAGAGCTCAGGAGCAAGTTGGTTACCTCTGCTGTTCATAGCTGCCCTTAAATAGAACCTTTATCTCCCCAGGCTTCCCCCAGCCCATCACCTCCCGCCTTCGGGCCACTGGTATTTACGTTATCTGCATATTCATTGAAATATAGTGCCCCACCCCTTTTGGAGACAGGGTCTCACTCTCCCAGGTTGGGGTGCAGTGGTGCACAGGCTCACAGCAGCCTGGACCCCTCCAGGGCTCCAGCAATCCTCCCACCTCAGCTTCATGAGGAGCTGGGACTAGCACGTGTCACCATGCCAGCCTAATTTTTTGTATTTTTTATAGACCTGGGGTCTCGCCATATGGCCCAGGCTGGCGTTAAACATCTGGGCTCAAGTGACCCTCCCACCGTGGGCTTCCGAAGTGCTGGGTTACAGGGTGAGCCGCTGAACCCGGCCAATAGCTTTCTCTTACGTATTTCATTCTGAAAGTACTTAAGAGCCCCGTATTTTTATAGGTATCTGTCTTGCTGTGCATCTAATGCTTTCCCTCTTTTCACTGCCTGGCGCCCCATCCTAGGCACATCCAGCCAGCCAGCAGACACTATCTCGTATTGTAGTGTTCTGACCAGCCAGGGACTTAGGGGACACAGTGAGTGAGACAGAAAAGGACCCTTCTTTCACAGAGTTTATGTGTCACAAGCAAGGACGCACAAGTGGACATATGGTGACGTTGCTAGTGGTGAGCGACGTGAAGGAGATGAGACGGGTGACGGAGGGGTGAGCGACGTGAAGAAGATGAGACGGGTGACGGGGGGGGGGGGGCCGGCTTCAGCTCCAGGGTTCGCTGTCTGGGGAGGCAGCGTCTGGCCGCACCCATAAACAGCGTCCTTAGAAGGCAAGCATTGGCAATGTTGGGAGAGACTGTTTGGGACACTTGATGGGTCCACAGCCAAGCAGTGTCTTCTGTGGATCCAAAGCATAGTAGGTGCAATGGAGGGGCGAGCTGGGATCTGCCAGACAAGGCTGCTCCATATGCTACCACGGTGGCCACGGCCACCCTCCAGAGAATGGCCACTGCCTCACGTCTGTCAGAGCCAGCCACAGAGGGAAAGGTTCTGGGAAAAGGTCTCCTGCCTAGAACAACCTGGCAGGATCCCCCTCTTGACTGGTACACACTCCTTTTTAAAACCACATTTAACTTCAGACTCATGCTTCTGCTTGATACGATGCAAGAATTCCAACCAGGACTGAGCAAAAGGTTCGTGCCGTTTTATCCGCAGTCGAGAAGATCCTCATTCCTCTGCTCAGTTTCTCTAAGAGCATTTAACACTGGACACTGCGAAGAGCATGCCTGGGGGTTGGATGGCACAAACACTGAGACGAAATGTCTAGTTAACTATTGTGAACATGTTCTGTGTGTGATAGCAGGGACTGGGAGACGAACAATGCAGGGAGAAGGATTGGGCAATGTCAGTACAAATGTGACTTGTGCGGGGACCGGAAGTCCTCACTGCTGCAGGTCTAGGCAACTCCTCACCACCCATGACGTGTTTCAGAGAGACGAGGCCGAGTTGGGGGAGCTGCCTGTTCACAACCAACCTCCTCCACTGGCTTCACGGGGCCCCCAGGACCTGCTTGAGCTGACCACGCATAGACCACTATTGTCGATGGCATCTGCTGTGGCTGGGTGGGTCTGACAGCACCCAGGGCATGATGGCAGCCCAGGCATTAGAACGTGGCCTGTGGGGCTGGTCACGGTGGCAGCCCAGGCATTAGAATGTGGGCTGTGGGGCTGGGCACGGTGGCAGCCCAGGCATTAGAACGTGGCCTGTGGGGCTGGGCACAGTGGCAGCCCAGGCATTAGAACGTGGCCTGTGGGGCTGGGCACGGTGGCAGCCCAGGCATTAGAACGTGGCCTGTGGGGCTGGGCACGGTGGCAGCCCAGGCATTAGAACGTGGCCTGTGGGGCTGGGCATGGTGGCTCATGCCTATAATCTCAACACTTTGGGAGGTGGAAGTGGGAGGATCGCTTGAGCCTATGAGTTTGAGACCTGCCTTGGCCACATAGGGAGACCCATCTCTACAAAAAATATAAAAATTTGCCAGGTGTGGTACATACCTGTAGTCTCAGCTACTTGGGAGGCTGGGGCAGAAAGATTGCTGAGGGCTGGGAGGTCGAGGCAGCAGACCCCTGAGTATACCACTGCACAGCAGACTGAGCGACAAAGCAAGACCCTGTCAAAAAAAAAAAAAAATTGAATGTAGCCCTTGGCCCTCCTTAGTATCTGGAGCCTGGTGGGAGCCTGGCAGCTCTGTCCCAATGGTGGGGGCCGGGACACCTCTCTCCAGATGGTGGGGGTGGGGACACCTCTCTCTAGATGGCGGGGGATGGGACACCTCTTTCCAAGTGGCGGGGGCGGGGACACCTCTCTCCAGGTGGCGGGGGCCGGGATACCTCTCTCCAGATGGCGGGGGCTGGGATACCTCTCTCCAGATGGTGGGGGTTGGGACATCTCTCTCAGATGGTGGGGGCTGGGACACCTCTCTCCAGATGGTGGGGGTGGGGACACCTCTCTCTAGATGGCGGGGGATGGGACACATCTTTCCAGGTGGCGGGGGCGGGGACACCTCTCTCCAGGTGGCGGGGGCCGGGATACCTCTCTCCAGATGGCGGGGGCCGGGATACCTCTCTCCAGATGGCGGGGGCTGGGATACCTCTCTCCAGATGGTGGGGGTTGGGACATCTCTCTCAGATGGTGGGGGCTGGGACACCTCTCTCCAGATGGTGGGGGTTGGGACACCTCTCTCCAGATGACGGGGGCGGGGACACCTCTCTCCAGATGACGGGGGCGGGGACACCTCTCTCCAGATGGTGGGGGCGGGGACACCTCTCTCCAGATGGTGGGGGCGGGGACACCTCTCTCCAGATGGTGGGGGCTGGGACACCTCTCTCCAGATGGCGGGGGGCTGGGACACCTCTCTCCAGATGGCGGGGGATTGGACACCTCTCTCCAGGTGGCGGGGTATGGGACACCTCTCTCCAGGTGGCGGGGGCGGGGACACCTCTCTCCAGGTGGCGGGGGATGGGACACCTCTCACCAGGTGGTGGGCCCGGGACACCTCTCTCCAGATGGCGGGGGATTGGACACCTCTCTCCAGGTGGGGGGGGCCGGGACACCTCTCTCCAGGTGGCGGGGGCGGGGACACCTCTCTCCAGGTGGCGGGGGATGGGACACCTCTCACCAGGTTTCGGGGCCGGGACACCTCTCTCCAGGTGCGGGGGGGCCGGGACACCTCTCTCCAGGTGGGGGGGGCCGGGACACCTCTCTCCAGGTGGGGGGGGCCGGGACACCTCTCTCCAGGTGGGGGGGGACCGGGACACCTCTCTCCAGGTGGCGGGGCCCGGGACATCTCTCTCCAGGTGGTGGGGATGGGACACCTCTCTCCAGGTGGGGGAGGGCCCGGACACCTCTCTCCAGGTGGCGGGGGCCCGGGACACCTCTCTCCAGGTGGGGGGGCTGGGACAGCTTGTCCAGATAGTGGACCCCAGGACACCTCTCTCCAGGTGGTGGGGCCCGGGACACCTCTCTCCAGAGGATGGCAATGCTCCACTGTAGGTCAGTGCAGGGATCAACTAGGTGTCCAGCCAGAAGCTCCACACAGTTCAAGCTCCATTGCATCTCTGGGCCACGTGGTGTAAGTGGCAGAGCAACCCTGTGGTCCTTGGCCACCAGCAGGCCTCCTCTTGTCTCAGGTTAAGGAGTGGAGCAGCACCCCCAAATGAGGCCAAGGTTGCCTCCCAGATAACACGTGACTTACAGTACTAGGCATCATGTGTCTCTCTTCGTGGTAGAAGGGACTGCAGGTAGCCACGGGGCTTGTGCTTGGGACAGGAAGGACCGCTGGGTCCCTGGAAGTGTGGGAGGCGCTGGCCCCAGGCGTTTGGCTTACAGATG